AATCCAATCTCCAAACTGCACAAGTGTTGAGGCTCACAATCAATAAAAGACTGTACGATTGATGCTTCACATATGCCTCTAGAAATCGTCGCTTGCAGCACATCAATGTGCTCCTGTACTCCTAAATACACCTTCTGAAGAGCTACCCACTCAAAACTTTTGGTGGTTCCAATCCCATATATAAACGTTTAGATCAACATGAGCCACTATGAAGCACTTGATTCTGGTACCAGTAGCCGCTTAGACTGATCGAAAATTACCCCAGAAATATCGAATCGCTTCCATGTTCCCTCATGGCTCATGGCCCCTCTATAAATTGATATTATAACATGATCGGCTTTGGTGAGGGACTTTTCCAATATTCTATCTACTCCAGAATGACTATACTGTCTCCAACGGTACCCAATGGCGGCCGAGGCGACCGGGGCGACGCGTTCGTTCTGCGCTTCGTGAGGCGATCGTTCTGCTCGCGGAAGACCTGGTCCTGGCAGGCGCAGGTCCGAACGGTGTGGTCGGGCTCCGTGTGGTCGGGCATCCGCTCGGTGCGAGGTTCGATGTGCTCAACAAAGTTAGACCATGAAGGTTGGGTACCTGGTACCAAGGGGATTCGGGTCAACTCGGCAGAAGTGGACCCCTCCAGCCCTTCCGTTTTTGATGAACTCAGTCGTGTTCCAAACATCTTTATATAGAGAGGTCGGTGGAACGCCTGGAGCTCTTTTCATCGGCAGCTTCACAAAAGTACTTTCATCAGGAAAGCCTGGATGATATGTGTTGAGTCTGCTGGATCTAAGGGCACATATGGTCCTTTTGCCAAGATTTTTGCACTCAGTAGCACTTTGGGATGGAGCTTGAGTCATGATTTGGTTTTGCGCATCTCTGACGGATGCCAGGTGCAGTTTTTGAGCCTTGACCGTGCCACTCTCAAGCATTTGGTCACTGAGGCATGGTTTCAAATGATTGCGCGCTCGGTGCGCCTCAGGAAGGACTTCAGTGACCTTGAGGGCATTGATCATGCAGCAACATTTGGCGCCCGAAACAAACTTTCTCATGCCGAGCAGGCATTGCTTTCGGGCGCCCAGGACGGCACCATGTTTTTGAACACCTTCAAATCCAAATTTGATCCGAGTAGGACCTGTTTGTGTGATTTTTGCGGACAGGAGGACACGTTGGCTCATCGAGCCCTAACTTGTCCGCACTTCGAAACCACCCGAAGAGATTTTGAGGATTGTGTTGCCTGTTGGCACTGTTTTCCCTCAGCGCTCACGCATCACGGACTAGCGGGCGCAAATCCTTGGATTGATGACTTTCATTCTTTGTTGCTGCAAATTCCATGGGAGCCCACAGAGTGGCACAGCAGTCCCTGTGGAACTGAGACTCAGCGCATCTTCACTGACGGAAGCTGCTCACATCCTAAGGTACCGTGTTGTGCCTTGGCTGCATGGGCTTGCGTCCACGAAGACAGTGGGCAAACTCTAGCCTCAGGACTTCTTCCTGGACTGAGACAGCATAACAACAGAGCTGAACTTTTTGCTGTTTACGTGGCAGTTCTTTGGAGCAAGCACTTTTTCTGTGACGTGGACATTTTCACTGATTCTAGCTATGTTGTTCGCGGCTGGGATGCTCTGTTGCGCACTCGGCATGTTTCCCTAGACTGCACCAACTCAGATCTCTGGGAGTTGCTCTGGCAGGCAATGCCTTGTTCATGAGAACACGGTTCGGCTTTACAAAACAGAAGCTCACCTGGACCAGACGCTTCTGACGGATGCCAATTTGGTCTGGCAGGCGCACTGGAATAGTGTGGCAGACCTTTCTGCCAAAACTGCCAGACGCACGGCAGGCTGCGCTCGCTTGCGTCAAGTTCATGAGCGACTGATTAGGACCTATGAGTGGCACAAGCACTGGGCGCTCCGCTACCAAGCCTTTCTGCTTTCACTGGCTCAAAGGTCTTTGGGTACTTCCACTACTGAGAGTATGCATGATGATGACTCGGCGCTGAATTTGTTTAACTGGAGTTCTCAGAACCCAGGTGACCTTTTCGATGAGCTGCCTCTAGAATTAGCTTCCCTGATCTCCCAATCAGAGAAACTCCGTGATTTTGGCCTTCCCATAGCCTTGAATCTGGCTACTTGGCTTTCACGGCTAGATGCTGCGGCCACTCATCTTGCCCCAGCTTCGTATCTCGAGATGTTTGTTGCTTTTCCGAGTGAGTTTGACGTTGTTTTGCCGGCTCAGGTTGGTACTCGAAACAACTTACGGTGGCAAGATCCTTTTAGTAGCAGGGCTGGTGGGCTCCTTCAACGTACCTTGGTATCACAGGTGAAGGTTTTCAGGTATCTTTTTGATTCTTTGTGTGTTGCCTTGTGTTTTGCTTTTGACGGTGCTAGTGTTAGCTATCCTCAGTTTCATCTTCACTTGTCTTTGGATGCTCGTGTGATATCGTGTGATATCTTGGCCCTCGTCTTTGGTGTCAGTCACCTTGGCGAAGTTGGGGGCGTTCTTCCAGGCCAGGCCCCTGCGGTCTTCGCAGGAGTTCGCAAGGCATTGGCCCTAAGATGGGGCTGAAGCTTCTTTAGAGCGAGGCGGCTCTGCTTTGCTGAGCCCTTCGTGTCGGCGACTTGTCCGAGAGGTGCGCGTATATAGAGAGGTCGGTGAAGTGGAAGTCACTCTTCATCCTCAGTTCTCAGTTGCCCCCGGTCGATCTTGAGTATATAACTCTACAGTTGGATGTCACCGTTCTCACCGACAAAGTGGGGTCCCCACTGGTCTCAACCATCGTCGGGGTGGTATTCTTCGAATCCCTTTGGAGTTCTGAATCTGAACTAGATCTGCCCCTTCGTGACGAGAACCTTCCATGTTTTTTGCAAACGATGGGCAAGCTTGCTTTGATCGAAGGACAACACTCGATTTATATTCGAGATAAATTCCTGGACCCTGAACGTTTTAAATTGGAGATTCACAAACCTGGAGTGCGGTGCCAACATATGTATTGTTCTAAGGCCGTATTTAATTGGTGTTGCCCGTACTAAACAAAACAGCACTTATTCATGCATTCATTGTAATGGCCATATTGCCAAACAACCTGCAACAGCCATATCAAAAACATCATGTTGTAAAGTTATTATATAGATAAACTATCTGTATGGCGGCGTTGGCCCCATTTACAGCAGGAAAAACAACACATGTAATTTATAACTCTAAAACATCTTGGAACGAGAAATGTACTAAGTCGGCACTGAAGGAAGCCAGCTCCTCACCAATCGCATGGGTGTTGGTCAACAAACTAGCATGGCATGGCCATGGCCCTCAAGAAAAACACAATCAAAGCAACATCCGCACGTTTCCAGGTCTCAACATGAGAGCTGACCCCATCAAATGGTCCTCTTCCAACCAATCACAGTTCACCAACCGTGTGTGGGGCTTTCATGGGGTCCACGTCGCCGGCCACCACCGATGTCTCGTAACCCCCCCCTCCGACTCTCCTCCAGCTGATCCAAGTTTGAAGCTCCGCAACCCATCGCGACCCGGTCACCGGGAGTTTGAGCACAGGTGCTGACCCTCCGTTTCACTGGACATGATATTAATGGTTACACTCCCTGGAACTAACATGGAAGTGGAAAGCCACCTGTTTGTAGTGGATTTCATGGTCTTCCAAGCAGGTTTCGGTTGGTCTTACGGTGGAGCTTCGCCGAAGTGGTCGCCCCTGGGCTTTCGCTCCTGGGCTGGTCGCTCCTGGGTTCAAAGTGTGACTCGCTCTGAGCAACGAACGAAGACCGTGTGTCCAATGGAAAAAAGGTGAACCACCCCGTGTACACATACCATTATAGGTCTTATTGTCTACCAAAAGAAGTAGAGTTTCTCAACTCATACTCCTCGTTTCAACATGTTTTTTTTGGGTTGCAGTATGTTGCAGTGGTTACCATCAATGGATTGCATGAGGCACGAATTGGCAGGGGGGTAACCCTGCAGTGATTGCCATGTGATGTCAATGCTGCTCAGTGGCTACTAGATGTTCCTAAGACAGGCCATTGGAGGAACGTTTAAGACAAGAACACACTGAATAGCAAGTGCATCGCTACTAGTCACAAGTGCATGAAATACTTGTAACCAGAAGCTACAAACGGTAGCGATGCACTGAGTTACTAGTATATAGCCTTACTGTTGCAATGGCTCCAATGGCTGCGGTCCAACCCGACAGTGGGTCCAACGCGACGACCGGACGGAAAAACCGGCCGTGGAAAAGGGTCCTGTTGGCCATGCTTGATCCGTGCTCTTCTGGAGCAAACCAAGAATCATCCATTTCAAGATGATGTGCTTAAACATGGTTAAAACCTATATGTTCTAACATTGTTTCAACCTGTTCTAAGAACTTTGAACAAGAACTTGCTTCTACGAACCACTTGAACACACACCTGGCTCACGTAGTCCGCGCCAAAGCACCGATCGCGATCGGGTCTCCACATGAAGCCGAACTAGGGCCGAACTAGGGCCGAATCTCGGGATCCGTCCAGACTCTTCAAGCGCAATCAATGAAGCGGGCATAAACAAAATACATGCCAAAACAACATCATACAGAACGCATAGTGACACAACGTGTGGTTTTCTGCGTTTGGAAGAAACTGTATGTGAGACATGAGAATGTGTCAGTTCCTTGGATTTCAAACATTTATATAACACTTTACTGTGGACGCTAAAGCATGCCACCACAAGAATAGTAATCAATCATTGGATCATGAGTCAGTGAACCGCAACAGATTTCAGTCTGGAAATATCTCAGGTAGCGCCCCAAGGTGATTGTCAGTGATCAATCTAGAGCTGCAAATATACAACATGGGTGTGTATTTAAATAGGAAGACACCTCGCCAATCTCCCAGATAATTATGTAATACACACCCACATCTTACAACATGCATGGCCCGGACAAATTGATGAATGCCTGCATCGGTTGTCTCCACAAACCGGTCATCGGCCGAACCCACTCCGCTTCCCGGCATCCAAGGAGCCATAGAAACTTGGTGAAGGAACCATATTCCTTCGCGAAACCACCGGGTGGATAAAAAGGACGAATTTGCGATTTTTTGGGCAGGAATCACTGACTATATATAATTAGTCCAAGAATTAGATTGGGATGGGATTGGAATAGTCGGTCAAAATCCTTTTCTCGGCACCAACTTATGCAGCTGTATATCTGAACATTGCCATGAGAGAGAGGGAGTGGACGACCTCCCGGTCCATATCATTGGACCCAAACCGCCGTGGGTCGCCATCAGTGTTTCTGCTTCGGAAGAGAACCCCCCCGCTAAGGTGACCCTGCTCCGGGTTCACCCCTTGAAACTTCATCATGGAGTAGAATGAGAACTAGGAGCAAAGAATACATTGCGGATGGTTTCTTGCCATGCTTCCATACATTAGTGACTCGGAGTCTAGCCAGCCTTCTCTTCCACAAACTCCTGGATCCACCACTTCTGCACAGTGGATCCATGTGGATCCAACGGACCTCTCCTCCGCCGCCTCCAAGCACAACTTGGCATTCTTCAGCACGCTCTCCTGAGTGGCCAAGCCGGTGAATCCGAAAAGTACCTCCACTGGGGACGCAGACTCCAATGTCTGAACGGAGAGTGTCCCAGCTGGTGCAAAACAAACCACGGCAACGGGCCACATTGGGCCTCGAAATAATCTCACAGTGTCTAAGACACGAGCGTGGGAGCTGTGAACGAAAGAAAGCCTCGAGGCAGCATCACCAGCGCCCTCGCGGCCAACGAAGCGAGGGACGTGACGTTGGAAACTCCAACGGCGCTCTTGGCCTTCTAGCCAATCTGCATCTTCAGTGATCGAGCTCGTGAGCGGAGGCAAATCACCAATGATGCCAATGTTGGGCAGCCGGCTCTGTGATGGATTGCCTGAGCTACAGACCTGTTGAATCATGGAAAGGGTCAGCTCCTGTCTTTCCATTTGCGGTCTGGAAACAAAACCTGTGTACTGTGACGGGATCCAACCCAGGAGGCGAAGAGCTACACTGGCCCTGGGGCTGAGCCCACCAAGGAGGTTTGAAACAACCTCTCTAATTGAAGCACGGCAGCCGGTAAAAGCTGGCCTACAGTAAAATCTGTTGGATGATACGGGGCGGCAGCAATGGTAATTGGCCTAAGCTTGGCTCTAGCGCCTCCAATGTTCCAAAGTGGATACTGCTGCGAGACGGCAACAAAAGTAAAAAACTCCAACCAGCTGATTTCCAAGGCTTCTTGCTGAGGCTAGTACGAGTAACCTGGTTGACAGGCCAGCTCAGCGTGCCAAGCCATTCCAAGAGTGCTTTACTATACTTTGGTCCCCACAAGGCATGTGGCAAGATGATGGGTGAAATCGGGTGAAATTGAATTGTTGGATTGGCTGGACTTTGAGGAGTGGGCCACATGTGGGCCGTGAGGCAGGCAAGCAGTATCTGGCTCCTGGATGCCGGACAGGGCCTCACCAAAACAACCAGGGGTGGTGGGATCGGTTTTCAGACTGTGTGGAGGCGCGTGATTCGGGTATGAATCGGGTGTGATTCGGTATGGCCATGAATTCGGCAGAAGAAGGCGATCCTTTGGCTCTTCTTCCCAAGGGAGACTCGGAGAGCACATGGGAACATTAGTGCCCCTGGAATGTGAGCCTTTGCTCTTCCCACAAGAAAACAAACAATTTTGGGCAAAATGAGCGCCCTGTGGATCACAAGATTATACATATTGCCACACCTTTCCACACGAGTGAGCGTTGGCATCGGCACATGCATCAGCCATCAAACAAGATGTGAAGTACAACACAAGGTTCGCATATGTTCGCATGAATCGCCTTCTTGGATCTTTGATACTTCTCTCCAGTGTTTAGATACGTCATGAATGCGTCTAAAGTCATGAATTTGCCCGCTTACTGCGCTCTAGTCAGAGGCACGGATCCTCTTGCGGTGGTTCCATTCTGGTTTTACCACGCTTGCACTGGGACATTTGACTTCTATCCCTGGCCCTGGCTTATTCCCACATGTTCCAGAATATCCAAGTGTCGATCTTGGCACGATTCTTCACGATGACTTCGCTCCCTGAGCCTGGGCTCTTCATCAATAAATTCACCTTCTTGGGCGAATAGGCCTTGGTGTCGCCCGTCAATCGCGCATGCGGAGGGGACCATCAACACAGAAGAGTATGATTGCAGATGTGGAATCTTTTGACACATGCGTGCGAGGAACTACCCAGATTGTACTCCAGTCTTCTTGAACACTGACCCGCACAAAAACACACCCACACGCAGCCCAAAAAAACACAGGGATCCCCTATCTTCTCCATATACAGTGAATGAGAATGAGATGTGTTCCAATCGTCGAGGCCTGGGGAGACCCCACCGCCACCGTGGGCAAGTCGAAGTGGTCAAAGGCTCGGCGATAGGCCTGTGACCGTGGGTGTTTGGGCCAGTCGGATGAGGCAACTGCCATCTCAAACAGAACACCAAACGGTACCAGCTATATTGCTTAGTGTGACTACCAGGGATCATGCCATTCCAGTGATCCATTCCTGTGCCTGCAGTATCCTATAATTGCAGGTATAAATAGGTCTAATAGGATCTAACAGGTATGTACACTTTAGCTAAAGCGCCCCTAAAAGACAGTGGAGATTCTCAAATGGCACTCAAGTAATTTGTCGGAATTTGTCCATGCCTTCATATGCCTTCTTCCTTCGCCCTGAAGCTCAGAAAGGGGTGTCACCGCTCAGACTCCCACCGCACATGGAATGACATGGACCGTCACAGGGCCACTTTGCACATGGACCGTCAATTCTCACCTCCCGAGATGTTATCGACTCTTTAGATGGACCTCCCCAAATCCTCTAATCGATTCGTGCCTAGTACTGAAGTCCATGTTCTGATATTTCTGCAAGTGCAAAGAACCTTCCTGCCAGCCAGGCTAGGCGCCAGCCTAGGTCAGGCCCACTCAGTGGGGGAGGAAAGACTTGGGAACCTCCTGGCAACGTAGCCATGGTCTATTATGTCTAAAGTATTTTAATGTTGGGCCCCCCCTTCTTTCTTGATCTTTATTCCACTCTTGAACCTCTCATCCTCCCCGAAGGTCTCGCCGCTTCTCGGCCCGCATCTCGGTCCACGAGCTTCGCCCACCTGGCGCTTCCGGAGGATGCAGTCCCAGCTCAAACCGGCCTGAGCCCCTTCAAGGCCTCAGTGAGAAAAGCTGGGTATGAAAGGTCATACCGTCATACCCGGTCACAACTCCTTTTTTCGATTCGTCTACCATATCGTTGGACGGGCTTGGTCACCACAGGTGTGTCAGGCACTAAACAGAACGGCTGAAAAGCAAAAATCGTATCTGGTATTGGGCAAAGCGCAGCGGAATAGGCCAGTCTTTGAATGATTATCAATGATTTGATTTATGTGCGATGCACGATATCCCGTGTCTAAAAAATTGGACGAATCCTCAGGAATGCTCACCAGCCTGTCTTTTACTTGATCTTTCCATCTAGACGCAAACTCGCTTTCTGAATTCAAGAGAGAATCCCCGTTTTACTATCTTTACTTGAGCCATTCTTCCCACACTTCGAGGTGACTTAAAGCGTGCCCGGGCCAGCCCGGGCTGAGCACCATCTCACACCGGGCTTCCACACTGAGCATCTCAAAGAGCTTGTTGTCCCCTGAGCGAAGATCAAAGGGAAATCCATTGAATTTTCCCATGGAAATGCATGAACATAACATACAATCCCCGAAGCAATCATGGAAGCCCCTGGAAGACCATGTTCCTCTACAAGTCGGGCCTGCTCTATGGTGTATGGCCCAACTTCCAACTGAGTCATTCTTAGCAATTGCATTCAGTAGAGAACTTATATCCAAGTTCAGTGATATATCTTCTGGAATGCACATCTGGGTCCTGCTCATGGTGAAACTGTGTGAAACTACACGTGGATCGTAGCTTCCCAGGACAAGCGCCGTTTCAAGAAAACCTTTGCCCCCCTCACTCCACTCTCTTCTTGCGCACGCGAAGTCGCACGATCAACGAGCGCTGTGAGAGGAGCCGTTTTGTGAGAGTGCTCTCAGTGTGTGTCGTTGGAACACTTGTTTATCTCACCATTTCAAGACACCCCCAAGAATCCGGGCCCGAAACAGGAAGGGTTTGGTTCGGGTCCAAAACCCCTGCGTTGCGGTGTCGTGTGCGACCCTTGCCATGAGTCCGGGCCCAGGGATTCTGATGTCTTAGGGCAGCAAACAAAAACACCAAAAGTATCCTTCGTCACCAAACTATGATGTTCCTGGAAACGACAGCAATTTCTCCGAGTGCGCCAGCTGTCCGGTTTTTTCCCGGCAAACATCGAATTCGGACAGAAACCGGACTCGCTGGGGACGTTCCAAACCCAGCAGTTTGCTCTGTTCCTCCCTGGGCACATGGCAAAGCAGCTACAGGACCTACTAGTATGGGGCCTATGGGTACTAAAGTAGCAGCACCATCGGTCCTCTGACCTCCGGAAGGCGAAAAAAGCTGCTCAGGGCGGCACGACTTCGTCCAGGGCCATGGATCGGCACACCCCACTCCTGTCCACAAACAGGAGTAGCTGATGACGCCCAGTCGAATCAAGGCTATTTGGCCTCAAGATTAGGTTTAAATCCAGTAAAGTATATGATGAGTTTCAATTGAGTTCCCAACTTTTCTTGGTAAGACTTCAACGTTGAAGAACTGGCCCCTAAGAACTGCATGGTCATGTTTCATTCCAACATATTCCAACAAAGCTTGTCATCGAATGTGCCCAGCATTCAGCATCCCCAACGGTTTCAACATGAAAACATTTCAAGGATGCGACCAAGGTCAAGACTTGGGTCTCCAATCGCCCTCTCAGTTGTTCGGTTGCACGAGAATTAGACTCTTTGTTGATAAGACCCTCCATAATATGAAAAAGTTTTACAGAATCCAAATGGGGGTGTTATTACTCAATGAGTCTACATTATTCTACATTAAGTAGGGGTTGCAAGCAACTCCAAAACACTTTCCTAAGAGTTGATACCGGGACTCTGTGGAACATGCTATAATTGGTAAGGTGTGTGACCCTGCTCAACTAACCACACATCGGTCACGGAAAAAAAAAACAAAAAAAACATGGGATCAAGTCGAGTCCGCGGACCTCGGTGCATGTGGCGCACCTCGGTGGCGGACCTTCGTGGCGTGGCTTCGTAGCTAGCTACCGTCCCACCGGTGGAGGCCGTTTTCGGCGGGACGGGATGTGGATGAAGCAACAACGAGAGCAGGAAAACCAATCCCTATGTCAACCAGAGTCCCTTCATGACGTGGCACGCTGCGCCGCTGCACGCCACATCCCTTTCGGATTAATTATATAGACTCTCTGATCTTCTCTGGACTAAATGTCTCTGAATGTGGAAAAAATCACTCTGACTACAGTATTATTATCCTATGCATCCCCAGAATCGTGTCACAAATCCACCATCTCTTCTGCGACAACAACACCAACACTTACAAATATTTCAATGTAATTGGTACTGGCACGAGGTTTTTTGCTTAATCAAACAAGAAACCAACTCCAAGTGACCAAACCAAGGACCGAGCAGACTTTGGAACCCAGCATGGCGACCAACTCTTGTCCGTCGCGTGGGGTCCTTGTCCATGTATTTTTTGTAATAGTCCGCGGTGGCCCCGGCATATGCTTCATACCAGGACCCTTCGGAGGCCTCGACATCCAAACGTGATTGGGTTGAGGTTGAGTTCATCACCTGAGGTCCCAGGTTGATATTGGGGCGGTCTTTCGAAACAAACATTGGCCCAACCCTAGATCTTTGCCTTACATCAAATTGTGGATATTGGATCCACAAATGTGGGTCGGTCCAGATTGATTCTATACACATCCAAAACCACCCATGTTCAGCCTCTGTCTTGGCCTCTGGACGGTCTAGGTGCTGGTCGCGACCGGGGACTGGTTGACGGACTCAAAACGGTCTCCCGCGAAGAGACGGTCGGGACCAACGGTCACTTGCTTTAGCAACCCGTTCGCATGCACAGTGTTCTAATCGTATTGCTTCAGGGCCTCGCTTAGACCAATATATAGAAATAATATGTAAACAACTAAACAAATGTTACATGACATAGATTGACATAGGCCCTGTCACAATGCTTCCTCAGTGGTTTTGTACTATTGCTCCTTGTCCCAACACATGTGCGAACATGGTCGAAACAAGCTTCGACTCCTTCTACGTCACGTCTACTGTAACTCCCATAAGTGTGCGATCCCATGGTGGACTCCAATCCAGCACGAGGCAATAACATCCCACTTCAGTGAAAGTAAACTGAAACGGACATTAGAAGTTATGTTATGTTCTGTGAAGTAATGCTTTATCGTACTCTCTCGTGACCGCAAATGCAAAGTTGTCTTCCGCAGACTTCTTCTAATGCCAAAATGCAAAAACATGGTGGTGGTCCACTACAGTAGTAACAAAGGCATCTCTACTAGTAGCTTCCTTCCTTGCTACTAGTAGCTCCTGGCATTACTACATATTACTACTAGTAGCAAGGTGCATCGCTACTAGGAGCAAGGACACTACTGCAGGCCAACCTTTACAACCTGGTGCATCTCTCCAACTCTCCCTGCCTTCAGTTTTTGCCGCTTGGGCGCTGGTGCTGCCTTGGTGTCGCACCAGGAAACAGTGACACCGGTCTTCAGGTTGTTTCTGGATTGGTGTGTCTTCAAACCGTATCCTGCATCACTGATGGCTTGAACCTTTCCGCCACCTTGGATAATATGGACGCAACGTGCAATTGGAGATCGTTCAGCATGTGGTCTCCTTGGCTTCTTGTGACGGATCTGGCAACAAACGAAAACAAAACAACCTATAAGCAGAATCTGGAGAGGTAGTTTATCCCTTCATTCAAAAGGGTCCATCTTGAAGCCAATTCTGCTTCCAAACACAGATTTACCAGGGTCACAAAAGGGAGTGGATGGAACCCGGGAACTGCCCGGAATCCCCCCATCCCATGATACTCGCAACGTGCAAGGTAGATGTGGCCAAAATCATCGTTCTGAGCAAGTTCGAAGTGAATGTATCATAATGATGGGTATATCTCTTCTATCCTATTACCGGTTACTAAAGGGCATTTTTGTAAAATAGTGATAACCGACTGTTACAGGTAATAGGACAAACCCAATGAATGTATCACAATGTATCACCAAATGATGAACACAAGAATCCAGCTGAAACACCATGAAACATCTCTTCTTGTTCATTCGGTATGCTCGTTTTGCTTGTAGATACACTAACTATGTATGGTCGAGTAGAGCAATGTAGCTAACAACATCAAGCTTCCACATTCAGGCTTCGACATTCAGCAACAGCAGGTCACTGGCAGTAGCAGTAAACCGGCAACTGCAAGCCGCCCCCACCAGGTCAGTCGCCTGCCGTGCTGCAGGTCTTTTCTGCGCCTCAGTTTCCCGGAAATACATGGAAATATATGGACATACCGTCAGGTGGGTGTCGCTCCGTGTGTGTGTGTGTGTGCATGCGTTCTCGAAGAAGCATACAGTCAACTTAATCATTGAAAGGACCTGTAGGAAGTCAACCGTTGGAGGTGCCCACCTGGCCACAATACCTCACGACCTGCGGACAGATTGGCAAATGAAAATCATCCAAACTCACTTAATAAGTGCTTTGCTTGCTGTCAAATGGGCGACCTGAACTCCTTGATCTCTTCACCTTCTGGGCATCCCGCCATCCGCAAGCGATGACTGAGTTCTTTCCGGCCGTCCAAACACGTTGGGCCCACAGTGGCACCGAGAAGGCAGATTCATTCCTGCATCTATGCAAACTAAGACCTTGTGTCCATGAAGCGACCGTGTTGTTTGCTTGACCGTGGCTTTCTGCCAGTAGTTTTGACAGGGTGGAGGTCATGATCTCCATGCAAAATAATATCGATAAACATACCAAAAAAATACAATAGGATCGAATGAGGTAGTTGCAAATGAGACATCGTCCAGCACTGACACCATCTCACTCACACCCCTCGAATCATGTCCAGCAAAGGAGGGGGCATAACCAGGCTCCGCGCGTGACTTGTTGACATTGGTATGGAAATTGTAAGTTCCGAGCCGAAATAGGCTAAAAGGCAGAACGCAACATATCCAATAACAGTCTATTGTTTCTGCTTAAAATGGGACCCCAGCTCCAACTAAAAAATAAGTGCGGTAACGATCATCATTGGATGGGGGACAGCCAAAAGTTTGACTGCAAAAGCCAAAGTTTGACTGCGAACAGAATCGCAAGGATTCTGCCATTGTTTGTCGTGTGCCTCACCCAAGTGCTTGGTTTCGAACAAACACCATTAAAGGTAACTGCACAAAGTATGTGCTTTCTTCTAAGCAATCCTCATGCTGCGATGCCTACCCCATGCAAATCCACCCCTGTTCAGAACAGCCGGCCCTGATGGATGAGGGCTGAAACAGCCGGCCCTTCAGGTTTGGTCCAAGCTGGGACAGACTGGAATGTGTCTCAAAATGCAATGTCTTCGCCATGTCTTCAATAGCTTCGTGCTTTCAGAATGGGATGGTCCTTCCCCTTGGATGGTCCTTCCGCACATCGTATCCACCGATCTAATCCATACATGTGGCAGCTCTAATTACTGAGTAAGTAACTTTTGAGAAAGTGGAAAGAAAAACACAAACACAAAAATACTCTTAAGTTGAAATTATCCTTACTCCAGGATAGTGATAGGAGATCTCAACAACATTGGGAAGACATGGGAAAACAAATGTTTTGGTCTTCACATTAGTATGAGTAAAACACTTATCCTCTGCACTGCGCCCTTTTTCCGCGCTGAACGGCATGATGATTGAACTTTGCGACAAGCCCCTGGCAAGTCAACCAACTATGCACAAATTGTCCATCAGAAAGTAGCAGTGACAGTCTCCACGGAATCACGAGTCATGAACCGTGAGGAAAAGAAAAAACCTTTCTCCTTCTCAAGGTTTGGACGAAACAGGACCAGCCTGCTATGTTTTAAATGGAACAAATCAAACGAGAGGTGATTTGATTAAACATTGAAATAGTTGTCAACAAATCGTTGCCCGTTCCCGTTAGTTTTCAGTCGTAATAGTGAATAGTGGTCTCTCATTATTCTCATTCCTGATGAACAAGCATTCTTGAAATGGAAACTAGAAGAATCAGAATACATTTCCTGAGATGTGAAGCTCGAGCATTCATAGCGAATTGATTTCTTTGTGATGGTTTTTCTTCTGTCACGGCAGGGCACCCTTTGCATACATGGTAACTCCATGTCTCTCCACACTTTCAGACTTTCAGCCGCTGCTTGCCAATCGGGCTGGCTTTGAAGCGAAGAAGAAGTCCGTGACAAATAAATTCTGCCGCTTTGATGGACAATGGTAAACCTAACAATTTGCTATTTCAAGTCTGGTTGGAAGAAAATGGCACGATCGACCTCTTCGACTTGGAGGTATGTAATGGCCACCCTCAGAAACCACTACAATTCTGCAGAAACTAACGGGGTGTTGGATTGGCAAATAGGAGCTCAAACAACTGAACACCGGTGAAACTCATCTGGATGGTCACAGCATGTGTACTTCTAATCTCTTATTTCTTCGTACTCCTTGACTTGTGACCTGAAACCCATCACTTTGACCTTCTGGTGGACTTCTCTCCGGCCAAAGGCACCTCAGCCAGCGGCCTCTGGTGGTGAGGTGGGTTCATAGCCCTCAGGGCTATAGGCGTGCCGCTGCCGTTCGGCGAACGCCTGTGCCGATCGGCCGACCGATTCAGTGGCCCGTTGATTCGGAACAGGGCGCCATCGATCAGCGCGGACACATCACGGGCGAGTGCACGTGATGAAAAGGTTCAAAAGGCGACCGAAAAAGGTCTAACTGATGTTCAATCTTAGCAGAAAAGGGACAAACCCCAAGAACAAAAGTCGTGGAATCAGATCGAAGATGGGGAAATCCAAACACCAATGACCAATAAATACCAATAAGCACCAGGTCTGTCAGGTTTTCGGATTGGTTCATACATTCGATCTACTCGTCGATATACAATCAAGTACTGTCGATATGCCGTCCTGCGGCGAAAAAGGCTGGAAGGTGGACATGGAGACGGACCGTTTCGTGCGGGAATGCCAGCAAAAAGGACTGACTCTGAGTCTCTCTCAGTGAGTTTTCAGTGGTTTGCGACTGTTCATTCAGTGAGAAAGACTTCAAAAGAATATCTGCCTGGTATATGTTGGGTAGCCCTTGGTATGCTTAGGCAAAGGGTTACCAAGGGTTACCCAAGGTATATGGCATCTAATCCGAACGAGTTCCGAACGCCGAAGGCGCGTTCCCCGAGGTCGCCCCTCGCCCCAGCCTCGAGGCGCCGGTGGAAGCTATCGGGATCCTCCGCGCTGTACCCTTCGCTGTCCTGCCGTGCGCGAAGGATCCGGAGCGTTCGGTTCGCTTCGTTGAACCCGGAAGAGGTGGAGAGACCTCAGGTTTGGAGGATCCAATCGCGAACCTCAGAATGGACCCTCCTGGACCCTTCTGGCACCTACAGTGTCGAACACAGCACCGTACCTCAGAGGGTATGTGGATCCCGGCCTTGGAGACACGTGGATCCAGACTCTTGGGGGATATGGACATGGATATGGAGCAAGGACGCTACTAGGGGCTCCTGGCCTTACTACTAGGAGCAAGGACGCTACTACTACTAGGGGCTCCTGGCCTTGCTACTTGGAGC